CCTCCTCCTCCCCCTTCTTCTCTCCTCCCGTCATCATCATCATCATCATCATAATCACCATCATCGTCATCATAATCATCATCATCATCACCAGCAGCGTCATCATCATCGTCATCATCACCATCATAAAACATCATCATCATCATCATCATCATCATCATCATCATCATCATCATCACGAGTGTCATCATCACCAACATCATCACCCCTGTCAGCACACCCCTCACACGTTTCGTGGCCCCATAAGGAGCTCCACCGAAAAACCCAGTGCCACCGCCCACATGCGTCCCCCACACCAATTTCTGCAGACCCTTTACACGCTTCGTGGCCCCATAGGGAGCTCCACCGAAGGCCCCAGTGCCACCGCACGCATGCGTCCCACACACCAATTTCGGCAGACCCCTCACAAATTTCGTGGCCCCACAGGGAGCTCCAGCGAATGCCCCAGCGCCACCGCCCGCATGCGTCCCCCACACCCATGTCGGCACACCCTTCACACGCTTCGTGGTTCCATAGGGAGTTCCACCGAAGGCCCCCGTGCCACCGACCGCATGCGTCCCCCACAACCCGTTCGGCGCACCCCTCACACGCTTCGTGGCCTCATAGGGAGTCCCACCGAGGGCCCCAGTGCCACTGCCCGCATGCGTCCCCCACACCCATGTCGGCACACCCCTCACACGTTTCGTGGCCCAATATGGAGTTCCACCGAAGGCCCCAGTGACACCGCCCGCATGCGCCCCACACACCCAGTTCGGCACACCCCTCACACGTTTCGTGGCCCCATGTGGAGTTCCACCGAAAGCCCCAGTGCCACTGCCCGCATGCGCCCCCCACGCACATTTCGGCACACCGCTCACACGTTTCGTGGCCTCACAGGGAGCTCCACCAGAGGCCCCAGTGCCACCGCCCGCATGCGTCCCCCACACCAATGTCGGCACGCCCTTCACGCGTCGTGGCTCCATAGGGAGTTCCACCGAAGGCCCCAGTGCCACCGCCCGCATGCGTCCGCCACACCCATGTCGGCACACCCCCCCACACGTTTCGTGGCCCCATAGGGAGCTCCACCGAAGGCCCCCGTGCCACCGCCCGCATGCGTCCCCCACACCCATGTCGGCACACCCCTCACACGTTTCGGCACACCCTACAGCCGAACCCACTGGGCGCGAGGAGTCTGCAGCCAGACCATCTTTCGGTCATGTGGACTCTCGCCCTGGGCCGTCGGCTGTCCGGCGCGCTGCTCCCTCGGCCGACGTCGCCCAGGCGTGTTCCTGGACTGCGGCCGCCACGAGGTCGGGAACGGCAAAAAGGAGACGATTGGTGGCTGGAGCACCACGCGCTGCTCTCGCGCGCCACGCGCCACGAGGACCTCCTGCTGATGCGGGCGCCGCGCATCGAGTTCTTCGTGGCAGGGCCGCCGGAGGGCTTGCGGAAGCAGCTGGAGCAGTTTGCGGTGCGCATGAAGCGGCGCAGGGAGGCGACGGCCCTCGCCAGGGAGCTCGGCCTCACCGAGTTTATCCGCGAGGCCTGACCTCAGGAGCGCCCCCCCCCCCGAGCCGGCCCAACTAATTGTTTGGTCTCGCGCCGCGGACGACCCGCGCGCGTCGCTGAGGCCCTCCCGGGGCGACCAGCGCGCGTCGCGGGAACTCCGCGCTGCGTTCTTTCCCGCGCCTCGCTCGCTCGTGGTCGCTCTGCCCAGCGGTCAGAGCTTTGCCCGCTAACAGCCAGCCAGCTAGCTAGCTAGCTCTTTTTGCTCCGCGCAGCGGACGACCCGCGCGCGTCGCTGGGGCCCGCCGGGGGCGACCGGCGCGCGTCGCGGGGACCCCGCGTCGCGTTGCGCCCGCGGGTTTGGACTTTGGAGTGCGCGGGCAAAAAAGGATGAAACTAAAGGGAAGGAAGCGGGCGCGATCCTCGCGAGGGGCGCGTCGACATGGGCGTCGCGGCGCGCGGGCGCTGCCGCCGGGGTCATCGCGGAAACTTTCTGCGGCGGCCGCGCTCGGCGTCGCGAGTGCGCAGACAAGCATGCCAGAATCTTTCACAATTATTTACATCTACACGAGGCGCAGCTGATCGCATTCGCGCGAATGGTTATATTCGCTCGCGCGAAAACTCATTCACACGATTCAGTCGCGCTCAGATTCACCCGCGCTCACTCTCTCGTAATCGGACTAATCGTTTCCCTTCGCGTTGTGTACCCTGCCACATTTCGGCACGCCCCTCATGCGGTTCGTGGGCACCACCGAAGAAGATACTCACAATTGCGGCACTCACAATTGCATATGTTTGGGTCATTCGCCTGGATATTTTTGGAGGCAGTTCCAACGAGTAATCCATGTTGGGCTAATTTACAAACGAGAAGATTGGGAACATCTTCTGACGAGGGTCGCAATGGGAATCTGGGTGCGGTTGTACAGTCAACCATGATCGTAAAAATGAGGCAACTTCCCAAGGCTACCCTTGCATCCTTGCCCCTTCGGTATTCGGCATCATTCGGCATTCTGGTGCGCTCCGCGCGGAAAACGTCAACATGGCGTTCCAAATCCCTTGCGTCCTGACCGCGCATCCTTACTATTTTGGTCGAGGGTAGTCGTGGTTGTAGTCGTGGTTGTAGTCGCGGCTGCATTTGTAATCGTCGTCGTGGTTGTAGGCGTAATCGTTTTTGTAATCGTTGTCGTCGTCGTCGTCGCGGCGGATATTTTTGGTGTTTCTACTGTTGGGCGGGCTGGACCATGTTTGGGTTTTTTTTTCCTACCACGCAGTAGCCCAGTGTGGGCCACCCTACACGCATGAGAATTTATGGCCACCTTCTCATGAAGATTCCACGAGGAATCAGCGGATGTGGGTATAGTCGCCATTGCAGTTTGCGTTGCAATCGGTATGGCAATCGTGATTGTCGTCGCGATGGTACTCCTATTCGTACTCGTGATGGTAGCCGCGGTCGTAGTCGCAATCGTAGTTGTAGTCGTAGTCGCAATCGTAGCCGTAGCCGTAACCGTAGTCGTATCGCGGTCGTAGTAGTAATCGTCGTCGTCGTCGTTGTTGTGCGGCGGGTGCCGCGGAGAGATTACTATTCTCCATAATTGGTGGGGCCATGGTCCTTCACTAAGGTCGCCGAGAAGATAATCAGTTTCCAACTATTGGGGGATTCGTTCAACACCTATACAGGTGAGCCCTCCCCGCCCAGGATCGTGAGAATTCGCCATCGGGTGCCTATCGCTGATCTATCGGTTCAAATGGGGCCCGAGCAGTCGGGGTCGGAGGACTCAGATCTCCGACGACATGTTTTGTTTGATCCCTGCGGCTTTCCTTCACTTCGGCCTCTGGGGGCCCATGTCGTGCCCCCGGGGCCATCAAAAACAGATCGGGCAATGTATTTGCCCCCCGTGAAGCAGTCCAGAGATGCTCGGGCCGTGGACTGAGAACCGCCCACCGTCGGATGCCAGGGTAGCTGTCAGGGGCAACACGAAGGGCCGGGATAGGCTCAGGGAGGAAATGGCTCGGGCTTTCGAGGCTCGGGATTTTCTGGCGTTTTCGTCGGCTCTCGGCGGTTCTCCAGCTTCGGGATGCCTTCCAGCTGCTCGCCAAGGGCGTTCCTGGGGTGCCCGGATCGTCCCGAACGGCTGCAGGAGAGCCGAGTTATGACCCGATAGTCAAGAGGCAACCTTAGAGGTGGATAGGCTCAGGGGGGACGCATCGACCCCAAATCGTACATTGATCGCCGATAGGGGACTGACAGTCCACCCCGCCCAGGAGCGTCCAGATTTGCTATTGGAGCCTGTCGCCGATCTATCGGCGAGGTCGATGTTTCCTCCCCTGAGCTGGTCCCCGCTGACGTTGCCCCAGAGGTCCAGGGGATGGGACTCTGAGGATAACAGGGGGTCCCATGTTGGATCTACACTGTTTCAGGCTTCTCGTCCTGGGGCCCCACTCCTCAAGGCCCCATCTTTCGAGTAGGATATTGACTAATTGTTCGCCGAATCTGCGACAGATGCGTAACATTTCCGTTGAACTACACACCGTATATTTTTCCGTTGAGTCGGAGAACAGGTCATTTATGGGGCGGTCTCTTGTTCGAATCCTCTCGCACCCCCGACATCATGATTTTTGTGACAACGTCGACCTCAAGAGGTCTCGACCCGCATCCCGAGCCGTTTTGACGGCCTCGGGGCCCAGCGAGGGCCCCAGGGGCCGAAGACGGCCAAGAGCGTGCGAGCCCCCGATGTCTCGCCGACCTCACCTGCTGGGGCCCAGCCTCGTCGTCGTCCTCGTCGTCGTCGGCGTCGTTGTCGTCGTCGTCGTCCGTCGTGGGGGGCGGGTGCCCCCAGGAGTGGCGGAGCTGGGGCTCCTGTGCGCTGCGCGTGGACGGCAAGATGGGGGGCGGCCCGCGGAGGGCCATCCTGAGCCCTGGGAGGCCGGAGGGGGCGCGCCCCCGGACATCTTCGTCTAGGCCTCCCATTTTCGGTCGCGTCGCATCGGCGATGCATCGGCGATGCATCGGCGAGGTGCGATTCCCCGACCCCAGTTACTCCGACCTGCATCTAGGAGACCTCCAGCCCTGGGGCCGACTTTTGAGACCCCGGGCCAGGCCGTGTGCTTTCTCGCGCCCTCGGGAGCCTAGAGCCGGGGGTCAATGCAAACGGGGTCAGCCAGAGCGCCAGATCTCGCGGGATCCTGCAGAGCCAGAATTGCATGGGCCTGGCTTGGCGCGCAGGATCCTGCAGGATGTTGCAGGATCCTGCAAGGCCCGACTGACCCAGGTTTGCATTCACCCGGGTCAGTGCGTTCAGTGCGCCCTCGACGCCTCCTGGTGAGCGGCAGCGGCATGTACCGCCTCGAGGCCATTGACCAGGGTGGCTACAGGATCGCCGCGGTGCAGGGCGACCCCCCCGAGAAGGGCGTCCTGCGCGCCGGGGTGGTGATCCTGGGCATCGGCGGCTACCCGCTCTGCTCGAAGAAGGAAAAACGACACGAACATACACGCCGGCCGTTGAAAGTGGATACTTATGGATTCCCAGATCCCAACCTACTTTTTCCCACGTCACTACTATGCACTCTTTGTAGTTGTTTGTCATTATCTGGTCGGGACTCAGACCCAATCTTCTTTGTCCGCCTTCCTACTTCATGTCTCTACCTGCTTCTTCCGACCGGCGGGTACACTTTCGGAGGTCCACGCGGATTCCTTGGGTTGGCGGTGGGCCCCCTCGGCGGCGTCTATGGCGCCTTTCCTGGCGCGCTCTGCGCGCAATGGAGGAGTGTCCAGCGCCGATCCAGGCAACCCGCGCCGACCTGCGAGAGCTTTTGTTGGTGCAGTTTTTGCTCCTTCGGTCTTCGGGCTCTCGGGCCAGGACCTGGAGGACGCGTTCGCGAGGCTGCTGGTGGACCGGGCGGAGGTGCAGACGCTGGAGTGGGCGGAGCTCCAGGACAGGGCTCGAACTAAATGTTGTTTTCGCGATTTCGTGGACCGTTTTTGTTTCGACTTCGTTTTGAAGCAACGGCGGGACGACGACACAACTACGATGGGAGTTGAGCGCAAAACGAACATGGAAAGCACCATCTATATGTCTTAGCCCTGCTCCAGGCTGCCGAGGCGGAGCGGGACGGCGGGGACGCGCGGGAGAACCAGGGCTACGTGCCCAGGGAGGAGTTGTCCGCTGACGGCACGCTGCTGGTAGTCCCGCTGGGCGAGAGGGCAGTGCGCTGCATGTCGGGCGCTGCGGCGGAGGCGGCCCTCCACTCAGAGGAGGAGGCAGGTACGTTTTGGGGGCAAGTTCGTAGCTGTCGCCCTCTGGTTTCCTGCTGCGCGAGTCCTCCGAGCCTTGGGCTTTCCCAGGTTTTTGCTTTCACCGCCCTGCCGTCGATTTCGCTCGGGGTGCGCGTCTGTGATCGCATAGCCCTCTTGAGGGGCAGCGGATTCTTCCTTCTCCCCTGCCTCCTTGCCATGGAAGACATGGGAAGCGGGTACCGATATGCCCGCTCCGCGGGCTGCTTTGAGAGGTGATGGCTTGCGCGGCGCGCGCCCTGCCCGTCTCCGGCGAGTCGAGTAGAAGATCGACTTCAAAGTCCACTTTCCCCAGAAGTGTGATTTCGTCGAGCTTCCACTAAAGATACGTAGAATGTTCGCAGATCAGTGGTCCTCCTGCGTGTACCCCACTAGCCCATCCAGAAACGATGCCCAGACGAGTTGCCCTGATCAGGGATGTTGAGGAGCATGCAGTGGAATAAAGGGCTGGGTAAGACATCGTACCCCAAAAGGGGGAGGATGGAGGAGGAATCGGAGGAGGAGAAGGAGGAGAAGAAGGGGGAGAGGGGGATGAGGAGGAGGCTGGAGGAAGGAGGAGAAACAGGCGGATGAGCAAGAGGAGGGCTAGGGGTAGGTGGAGGAGGAGGAGGAGGAGGACGAGCAGAATGACCAGAGTCAAGTAGTGGCGAAGCGTCCTGGCTCGCCTATAGCCCCACAAAACAATGTTCTAAGAACCTTTTGTGGTTCCCACGAAATGTTCTTAGAACATTTCTGGCTGGGACTGTCTTGTTAAAACAACGGGCGTATGTTCTAAGAACCTTGTTGTTGTTCTTAGAACATTTTGGGGTTCTAAGAACATGTCGTGGTATGACTATATCAATGCCGGGACGGTCGGTCCCTGCTCAACAGAGGCCTCTTGGATGCCTCTCGGAGTCTCTTCGGATGTCTTTCGAGAGCTTCTTGGGGTCCTCTTGGGGCGTCTTGGGGGTCTCTTGGCGATCCTGGGGACCTCTTGGGGCGTCTTGGGTGCTTCTGGGAGTCCTCTTGAGACATCTTGGGTGTTTCTTGGGAGCCCCTTGGGCGCCTTTTGGGGGCCTCTTGGGGGCCTCTTGGGGGCCTCTTGGGGGCCTTTCGGGGCCCTCTTGGGGCACCCTTGAAAGCCTCGGAGGCCATTTTGGAGGAGATCGAGGAAACGAGGGGTCATAATAAAAGTTAGCGCCTCCCCTCCAGGAGGTCAACATGTGGCCCAAACCCTGCTAAAGTCAATAATTTCAGCCGTCTCGCCGAGACCATCTGGACGCTCCAACCACCCGCGAAACGCTCCGTCCAGGTCCAGGGGGAGGGGGGCGATTCCAAAGGGGAAGACGGGGATTGGAAGACGAAACTCGCTAAACTACGCGCATTCTAAAGGGCTGGTGGGACTCTGTAGTCGATCTTCTGCTCGAACGCCTGGTCGTCATATTCGGGCGGCGCAGCAAATAAGTGGTGAGGGCTTTGTGCTTTTGTCTGTGTTTTGGTCCCTGAGGGGTCAGAGGAGGAAGAGGTGCCAGTACCGCGGCTCGTCCTGGAGAGCTCTCGTCGCCACGGCTGGGTTTCTCCTCGGAATTTCGGTCAGAATGCACCCCAGGAAAGGTCGACGGGGAGTAGCCGTATCGGTATTTTTTTGTTGTGTGTCTCCACCCCTGGGCCCCGAGGCGCCCCTGCAACGCCCAGGCAGCCGTGCCTGGCGCGTCGCGGCCTGGGTCTTCCCTTGCAGGTTGGCTGCCTTGAGAGTGAGAGGGTGGGTGCAGCCAAGTCGCTGAAACAAGGAGCACCTCGGAGGGGGCTAGGACGAGGATACATACGTTCCAGAGCGAGCCGCAACGCTCTCAGAGCGTTCCAGAACGCTCTGAGAAGGCCGTGGCGCCCGAGACATCCTCCTGAGCCGCCGGATCTCAGAGATTCTCGACTTATCCTCGCCCGAGTTTATCCTCGTCCTGGCTTCGTCTCAGTAGGTATTTCGGGCTCATGAGGGGCTCCGTCTTCTGGGCCGTTGCCTAGATCCAGGCCGTGGAATCCCTTCGTTGCCACAAAAAGCCTCCTTCGTTCCGTATTCAGCATTCCCTATGGCAGCGCGATGGCTGTCTTTTGAGATGAACCGATACGTCCGACGATGCGATTTTTCCAATCCGCCGCCCCAGAGGTCTCGACCCCTTCCCCGGGGGCATGTTCTTGCCCTGCATCCGTTTCTGATGGCCCCGGGGCCCCAAATCTTGTCCTGGAAGAGAAAGAACACAACGAGATGCTTGCAAGAGTCGTATCGTCGGAGATCAGGATCTTGCGAGGTCGCTCCCTGGAGCCCTCCGAGGCCCCCGAGAGGCCCCTACCTTCTCATGCGCGCTGCCAAGGGTCGGCGTCGATGGGGTAGTTAGGTGGATCGCACCGCATCGCCAGCGCATCGGCTTCAGTGGGGATTCAGGGTGGCCGCCCGGTCTTCTTGGGACTCGGGTCGTTCGTTGAGGATGTCTCGGGCGACGGGGGCCTCCAGGGTCCCAAGGCCTTGCGGGGACTCACAGGGCGGTTAAGGTCTGTCGGGGTTTTGAGGTCGCGCGCACAGAGTGCCACCCCAATAGCCTCTCCATGAAGGGCCCTCCGAGGCCTCCCGAGAGGCCCCCTGATCGCCGTGAAGGAGAGACATCCGGATGGAAACAGGTCCTATCGTAGATTCCCAGTTGAATTTTCCTAAGGACTACTTAGTCTTATCCCGAGTAGTTATTCCTCAATTTGGCTTTGCCTGAGGGGGTCTTACTGTCTGTGGAATAATATGGTGGGAGCGGGGGCTTTCGCCAAATGCGGCATCCGGCGCTTCTTGGTGTTTCTCGATGTTGCGTTGGGTTTCTCGGGGTTCCTTCCTCAGAGGCGGCCCCCAGCGTTACTCGTGGTTCCTCGGAGGATTGCCAAGCAATGCAAAGCCAATGCCAATCAATGACAAATAATGCCAAGCGTCGCCAAGCAACGCGAGTCAGTGCCGAACAGCGCCAAGCAGTGCAACGCAACACCAAGCAATGACCCAAGCAGCGCCAAGCAATTCCAAGCCATGCAAAGCCAATGCCAAACCATGCCAAGCAATACTTTGCATTGCGTTGCTTTACACTGCTATGCATTGCTCAGAACTGCGTTGTCCATCATCGAGGTCGCGCCGGGTTCATATGACGGCCTCGGGGTCCGTGGAGGGCCCCGTGGGCCCCGACGGCCTGCGAAGAGGATCCCAGGCCCCCTTTCCTCCAGGGGCCCACTCCCTGGCATCCGCTGGCCTGAGTTTCTCAATCCGCGACCCCACAGGTCCCGACATGGCCCTGGGCGAAATTGTTCGTTCTGGATTCATTCGTGTCAGTCCCAGGGCCCGATAACGGACCCCGGAGGGCGAAATCGAGGAAATACCGACCAGATTGACGACACACACCAGGTAGTCGCAGTTTTGGGCTTCCTTCATAAGCTTAATCCTAGCCCAGTCATTCCCCGAGACCCGTTTTTCATCCGAATTTGTTTCTTACTGGTTCGGGGGCTCGTCGAAGGCCCCCATGGGCCGAACATTGCCAGCAACCTTCCGTTGGGATTTTTCACGATGCGAGGAGAGGAAGAGGAGAGGGAGGAGAGTGAGATGCGAGGAGAGTGATGTCTTGACGCTAACGCAGTCGCGAGGCCCCCTCCCACCCCCGGGAAGCGCCCGAAGCGTGGACCCCGCCCGGCTGGCGGAGCTGGTATCTCAGCCCCTCCAGCCCACCCTTCGAGATTTGGACAGGCCCCGCGAAACTGGAAGAAACAGCCAAAAATCCCAACCTTGCACGGTTACGGCCAGTGCCAAGGCCGCGCCAGTGGAGACGGGGATGGGTTGGACGCGAGCCAAAAAGGCCCGCCCCCCCTCGGAAGTGCCCGAAGCATGGACCCCGCGCGGCTGGCGGAGCTGGAGCTGGATCTCGGGGAGCTGGCCGCGGCCGGCGTGCGCGCGGAGTTGCGGTGCCCTGCGACGCTCGGGCTCGACAGCGTGGCGCTGCGGGGCGATCCAGCGCCTGTGGCCGGTCGGCCACCCTCGGGCCCAGATCTCTGGCGATTCCTGTGTTTTGTTCCGTGCGGGCGGGTGTCCTCGACCTCGCTCGGACCAGGGGCGGAAAGCTGATCCTGGGGAAGCGGTGGGGACCTCCTTGGGGCCGCGGATTGAAGAAAAACTCTGAGAGGAAGAAAAGGTACGGGTACCGTTACCAATGCCTCGTTTTCGCCATCGTGGGCCCCCTGGGAGAGCCTTCGTTGCTAGGGTTGGATTCGCCTTGGAATCCTGGTCAGAATCTCACCCCTGGAGAGGTCCAGGGATTAGCGGTATCGGTATCTCCCCCACAAACCGATGCGTTACACAAACACATTTTGAGTTATGGGCGTAGTTTTTTTTTGCACATTGGGCGCTTTCGTCCAGTTTCGGGCCCCAGGGCCCTCACAACTCGATACAGCTCGAAAGATGCCGCAGAAAGATGGGGTCTGGGGCCCCAGTCGTGATTTTTGCGATGTCGTATAATTTTGGTAACGTCCTATCTCACGGCCCAGAATCATGGCGGCAGTTTTTTCATCGTCTTCGTTTCCTTGCCCAGCTCGAGCCGTCAGCGGAAAAACGACTCGGGGCGAGAAGAACCTGGCCCCGGAGAGGTGGTCGAGATCCCGGGATGCGACGTCACGGAAACGACGCATCTTCGGAGGATCAGGACGATGGAGGATGGTGGAGGAGGAGGAGGAGCAGGAGGAGCAGAAGGAGGAGGAGGAGGTTGAGGATGGTGATGGAGGGTGGACGAGGAAGAGGGGGATAAGGAACGAGGTTGGGTCATGAAGGACGGAGTGCAGAAGCAGGAGGCGTATGCAGGAGGATGTGGAGGAGGAGGAGTAGTAGGAGGAGGATGAAAAGGAGGATAGATAGACTGGATGACCGAAGAGGATAAGAGGAACAATAGAGGACGGAATAGGCGGAGAGGTAGTCGGAGGAGGAGGATGACGAATAATAATAATAATAATCATTTGAAGAAGGCGAAGGAGGCTGGAACTTGCGCGTGGTCTGTGCCGTGCCCTACTCGCTCGTGCAGACGTGCAAGTGAGCCCTGTCGAGGCCGAGTGTCGCGCGCACCTTGCAGCCCCTCGTGCCTCCAGGCGCGGAAGAAGTCGCAACTGGTGGGGCCCCTCGGGGGCTGGGGTCGACGGGCCCCCGCTCCGCCCGGAGGGGGAGAGGCTCTGCACCCCACCACAACGACGGACGAGAGGGGGACGACGCGGAACAGAGGCGACGAGGAAAGACGGAGAGGCCAAAGCAGGAGGAGGGCACAGGAGGCGCAGCGTTGGGGGGTGCGTGCGGGCCATCGCCTTGCAAGTGAGAGTGAGGCAACGGGCGCTTGCCTTGTAGAACAGGGCCTCGGAGTACAAGATCAGAGAGCGCAAGATCACGTAATGAAGGTCGCCGAAGTTCGACATCGCGACTAGACTATGTCTGACAAGCAGACCTTACCCAGCGACACGTCCCAACGGGACGACATCGGAGTAGACGTGGCCCAGCGACACGTCCCAGTCATCGGTGTCCGCAACGAATCGACGCGAACGAAGTGAGAGCCCCCCCCGCTTGCCCCGAGGTGCATCGTCGAAACCATAAGCTCTATAGTACATAGTCCCAAAGGGCCGACCCCCCGCCGAAGCTGGGGCCGCGAGCAGGGGGGGGGGCTCAATCGCTGGTGGCCCACTCCGTGAAGCAGGCGTGGCCTAGCGGCATTGCCCAGTCACCGACGGGCAGAAAGAAACAGTATAGTTAGACGAAGCGGCATGCGGCCGTTTCGGGCAGTCTTAACGTTGCGACTACCCGCGCAGGAGTAACTTTACCGCAAGGGGCGAGGAAGGAACCTACCCACGCGCCTGCACGCACCAAGCTAGGACTCATACAATCCGAACCCCAATGTCGAAGTCTCAGGGACGACGTCCAGTGGTGTGTGATATCAGATATGGCAGCTGGGTGCACGCGTACCTGGTCCCAAGTCGTCGCCGTGCCTGACAGTGAGGGCGAGAGGTTACTAAGCCCAGACACCCGCCACGTCGGACGTGTTAGTGAGAAGTAGCCCCCTTCGGAGTGAACCGATGAAGAACAGAGCGGTACGCAGCACCTGGAAACGTGTAAGCACCCTCCACCGAAATAACACAGCACCATCCATTGCATTTAGGTGTCGAGTTTCGTCGATGCAAGTTCTCCAGCTCTAATGCGTCCCGACAAGGCCGCACGTCGGACCTACCAGGATTCTGGATCTGCCTCTGCTTGCCCTTGTCCTTCCCTGCCCTTGGTTTTGTCGATCAGCTTCTGGGCCAGGGCCTCGAGGTGCCCCAGAGGGGCGGTGCCCATCTTGAGCCACGCCCACGCCGGGCAGAGCAGCTGCACGATCGCCTGCTCGAGCTCGAGCTTCGAGGTCGTCTGGTCGGCGCCGCTGGAGTCGGGGAGAGTAATGCCGTCTGCCATCGAGAGCTGAAGCCTCGTGTATTCGTCGTTGTAGCACTTCCTGCACCGAGAGCGTCGTGGTATCAAGCCAGGTGATTCCGCCGTCGCTCTCAATGCCAACTTCGCTCCCAACTCGGCCAGGAGTTGCTAGTTCTGACGCCCCTCCTTCTTGAGGCTCTCCGCTTCCAACATGGATCTGAACACGGAACGCGTGATGTACAAGTGTGGTGGCCAAAGGTATGGCTTCGCTGCTGCGAGCTGGCCAGGCTCCAGGAGGCCCCCAGAGGCCACATACGCGCACTGTTTGCTGGCCACGCGCGCGGCCGTGATCACGGAATACTCCGAGAGGATCACGATGCAGAACCACTCTGACGCCGTTGGGTCGCGTAGCTGCTGATTGTGCATGCGCACGATCTTGAGCAGGATCGAGATCGCCTGGGTGTCTTTGGCCCGCGGCACGCCCTCGACTTGCTGGAGGGAGTCGTCTTCTGCGTCGGCCACCTCTGGTGGTGTCCCTCTGTTTTTTCCGGCCTCCCTGGTTCTCCCTGACCTTCTCCGGCCTCCCTGTGCTTCTCGAGAAGGTGCTCTAAGTCCATGGATGCCATGTCGTGGGCGCGGCCGTGGAAGTGCCTGCACCGACTCACGGGGTGCACCGTGTGCCCGGATGTGTAGCTGCAGTGCCCGAAGTTATTGAACCACAATGCAAGCTGCGGGCTGGACAGCCCAGGTCAAGAGGTTCACATACTTAGTTTACCGGGAAAGAGCCGCGACCTAGCGTACATCTGTTGAAGCGGCAGGATGGCATACCGTGTCTTTGTGCATTATTTCTCGTGTTCAGGACCTGTGACCTGCAGGCAATGGAAGCATTGGTGTGTGATTTTGCGAGGAGCTGCTTCACTGCGCACTCGATGCGCCCGATCTGCATGCAGAAGACGGGACTTCATCGCACTGAAGGGTCACCGCAATTTTTTCGGTCGTCGTCCCGCAGTCTACACCGACAGGACCAAGGTTCTAATTTCAACGTATCGTGCTCTTGAAGTTCGGGGCTGGGTGACTTCTGAGGGCATAGTGAGATCTGGATTGAGAAGTAGTTGGCCCTGGAACTGCTAAAGTTGATGTCGGCCCACTTGTCGTAATCACTCGAGTAGGAGCTTGGGGAGGGAGAGGGTCGGGGACAAACATGTTGAACTCCTCACTTCTTTCCCGAGCGAACTGGAGGTCCTGGAGTAGCTGTTTTGCCCACCGGTTGGCCTGGGGGCGGTTCGTCCAATCCTCGTTCATTATGTGCCAGGGTCCCATGGTACCTAGTATACACGCCCTGACTTGACGGTGTGCACTCGGAAACTTGATCCAGGATTGGTACCAGCGTACCCGCCCGAGACGTAGTTCCCCAGCAATCGGTAGAATCTGCCAGTACGCCCACATCCGCTTCGAGCTCCACCTCTTAGTCTTAAGTCGGGCCTGTCCCTCAACATGGGGAACATTCAAAAATAGTCAGAAAATAGTCTTGGGGTGTTTTTTACCTAACAGCGAAGACTGATAGGTTTCTAGTTGACTCAAAAGAGATCACAGATCACTCCACAGGGGGGTCCGGGCAGGCGTTGGGAGTTGCCGGCCGGGCCTGTGCCGGGCTCGTTTTTCACCAACAGTCACACACTTCGTGCTCGTCGACCTCTCAGAACCCCATTCCCAGGCCACATTCTGAATAACCGGATGCAACAGTCACACACTTGGTGCTCCTTGACCTCCCAGAACGCCATTCCCGGGCCACATTCGGAATAGCCGGACGCAACAGTCATACAATTCCTCGTACTTGACACCCCAGAACTCCATTCCCGGGCCACATTTTGAATGCCCGGAGCCAACTGTAGGCCACTTCGTGCTCTTCGACTTCCCAGAACTCCATTCCCGGGCCACATTTTGATGCCCGGAGCCAACTGTAGGCCACTTCGTGCTCTTCGACTTCCCAGAACTCCATTCCCGGGCCACATTTTGGATGCCCGGAGCCAACTGTAGGCCACTTCGTGCTCTTCGAGTTCCCAGAACTCCATTCCCGGGCCACATTTTGGATGCCCGGAGCCAACTGTAGGCCACTTCGTGCTCTTCGAGTTCCCAGAACTCCATTCCTGGGCATGATTTTGAATGCCCGGAGCCAACTGTAGGCCACTTCGTGTTCTTCGAGTTCCCAGAACTCCATTCCCGGGCCACATTTTGAATGCTGAGGCAGGCTGATGCTGCTGAGGCTGAGGCAGGCTGAGGCTGAGGCCGAGGCTGAAGGCAGACTGAGGCTGAGGCTGAAGCAGGCTGAGGCTGAGGCTGAGGCAGGCTGAGGCTGAGGCTGAGGCAGGCTGGCTGCAGGCTGAGGCTGAGGCTGAGGCTGAGGCTGAGGCTGAGGCTGAGGCTGAGGCTGAGGCTGAGGCTGAGGCTGAGGCTGAGGCTGAGGCTGAGGCTGAGGCTGAGGCAGGCTGAGGCTGAGGCTGAGGCTGCTGAGGCTGAGGCTGAGGCTGAGGCTGAGGCTGAGGCTGAGGCTGAGGCTGCAGGCTGAGGCTGAGGCTGAGGC